CTCTGAAACAAAATGCCTTGATAACAATGTTGAAGCCATAGCTTAACATGTGAATCTAAAATCATAAAAACAGGAGAAATAAAAGAGCACCATAAAAACCCTCTGGGCAGCAGCCTAGGCGGCCGCCTAGCGCCTAGGCGCCTCCTAGGCCGATTTTTCAAACACTGGCTGGTTAAATGAGCAGGCACTCTGAAACAAAATCTCTTGCAGCCGCACCTCCCCTCGCCGGAAAATCTCTTGCAGCTGCAACTGAGGCTGCCTCAGGCGCAGTTCTTGTGAAGAAGATGACCACTGCGTCCTGGTTTTCTTTATGATAATACCAAAATGAAACGACGCCGTTTTGAATTTGGGGAATGAAATCCTTTTAATGAAACGGTGTGTTTTGTGACTTGAAAACATTTCATTTTAATCTTATTAATGAAATCCTTTTATTGAATTCCTATTATATCCCCGTGAATTCAAGCCCAAATTGGACTTGCTGAGTTGATATCCCATGGGCCTTGACATTTGATTCAAAGCCTGGTTAGTTTTGTGATTGTATCAAAATTTATATATGGCATTACTTTCTTTAGTTGATATTGCCGGATTAGTTTTTTTACTCTTTTTTTTTGCCAACTTCTTTAGTTTAATAATATGTTATTAAGTAATATCTTAGCCTTTTTTAAATTATTTTGATTGGTAATATCATAGACATATGCGGCTAACATTCATCAGGAGAAGTCTCATCCGGCAAATGTTTGCCAACTTAGGTCTCTACCGACAAAATCATTCGTCGAGAGAGGTTTTTTTTATTTTATTTGAAATTAGTTTCTTTACTTTTTTTTTGCCAACTATTTTTGTTTAATATATGTAATTAAGTAAGATCTTAGCTTTTTTTAATTACTTTAATTATTATTATTTAGTTAATATTTAAATATTTTAATGATTTCATAAATTACTCAAATATTCTAATATATTTAAGGAAATATGACACTATAAATCCATATTTTTGCTACACATAAATCCATATTTTTATTGTTGGTGATATATTAAAATAGTATAGCCGCACGGCTATACACTATAAATATTCTATTTTAAAGGTCTAGCCGCTGCCTATACTATTTAAAAAGAATATTATAAACGTATAGCCGCGCGGCTATACGCTTCAAAAGTATAAAATTAGTTTCTTTACTTTTGTTTTTTGGCAACCTTCTTTAATTTAATTTATGTAATTAAATAAAATGCTAGTGTTTTTTAATTACTTTAATTAGTTATTACATTTTAATTATTGTTTCTTTAGTGAATATTTAAATATTTTACTGATTTAATAAATTACTTAATAAATAGTAATTAATTATTTGAAAGTATAAAATTAGTTTCTTTACTTATTTTTTTTGGAGACCTTATTTAATTTAATTTAATTTATGTTATTAAGTAAAATCTTAGTCTTTTTTAATTATTTTAATTAGTGGTAGTCTATTTTCCAGTGATTTTAATGGGAGAGGAATTAAAGGGAGCTGACTTGGGCTTTGCATTCCCTTCAGTGGTCTCAAGCTAGCAAGGTAGCCATTTGATTTATTGTTGCATGTAGGGGAAGCTTAGTGGCCTGAATTGTTTCTTCCTTCTCCTTTGGTACTGAAGCTCCACTGGGGTCCTGCATATATACACAATACAAGTTTGAATCAAGTGTTTCTTAATCACAGAGATGCACTATATTTCTTGATTTATAACAACTTTTTTGTCAATAAAAACAACCATGTTAGCATGATTGTCTTAATAAAGTTTTCCATTTTTTAAGAAGAGATCAACAAGCTAGAGAATTTAGAAATGACATACCCCAAGCATGAGAAAAGTGAATGCTTGATTGTCTGCACCAAGATAAATTGCAATCAACTTTCGCAGGTCATCAAGGCTTGCATCTTTTACAACCTTAAGTGTTGTAATGAACTTCCCTGGATTCTCTTTTGAAGCCTCCCATTTCACATACACTTCAGTATCTGCATCAGTGAAGGGTTGTTGTTCTCCTTGGAAGCCAATGCCATATCATCACATACTCGACTTTTTTTATCTCTTCTGTCAGTTTCTGCTCATTTTCTGATTTAACTGATGCAACAGTAGGTGCTGGAGTTGTCACATGTTGAGAGAGCTCTCTGTAGTTTCCACAGAGTGTAAATATGTTGCGGATCCTGACAAGCCTATCATCTCCCCCCTGCCATCTTCTTCCCCTGGATTTCTGCTTGGCCGATTCACAGTTGGTGTATGTTGATAATCCTTAGGTAAAGATGTCAGGGATCCCATACTATAATTACTCTGGAGGCTAGACCCATCAACCATGCACATTCTCTTTTCCTCTATAACTTCTTTCTCCACTTCTTCAGCTTCCACATTTTCCTTAAGTCCTTCCTCTTCTTCCATTTCTTCTTCCTCAAAAACAGTGCTTAGGCATACCCTATCAGCATATTTTGGTTCAAAAGAATCAATGTTTACAGCATTTACAATACTGCTGTCAGATTGATAAGCAACCCCACCTACATATTTCACCTCACGAGCAAAAGGTTCTTGACCACCCATGTCCAAATCCATTGACTTTACCATTCCTCCTGCATAATCACTCGCATAGATCCTTAACAACCTTTTGGCAAACTGTGGGTTCCATCATGGTCCTTTGTCCCACTCTCCTTACCATTTCCATCACCTAACCGGCATAGCTCAAGCTCAATTTCCTCCAACCACCACCTAAGCATTTCAGCTTCCTGCTGCTGCTGCAATATCCTTTCTTCCTGTTGAAATTAATGCATATTTTTAGAAAAATCTAGAAGCTTGAAGAAAGTGCTATAAGCTTGAAGGGAATAAAAGATTGAAGAATGTTCCAGAAAAAACCAAGAAAGCATGCAACAAGGAATTGTGGAGAAGTTTCTAGTCAAAGCCAAATATGTGGCTAAGAGAGATAGTCCAAGTCGGTGGGACTTGGACAATGGCGGCAACAATTAGCCTATAAATAGGCATGCAACCACAATGCAAAGTGGAGTCTAACAAAGAACTCCCAAACTATACTAATCTAAGTGAGGAGGCCAAATAGCCCAAACTATTCTTAATCAAGTGTAATGGCCAATAAGCCAATATGCTAAGAGTAGAAGGCCAATTAGCCTACACAAAGCCATGTTCTATTCTCCTCCAATTTAATAAAATCACTTTGTTTCCCCTACAATTCTAACACTTCCATTCTCCTCCTCTCCAATTCAACAAACTCATTTGCCATACCCTGGCATTCCTCCAACTTCTTTTCCAACTCACGGTCAGTCACCTTCAAGTTGATTTCTTCCTTCTTTTTCCCAGATCCCGTCCCTTCCATAAGCTCAAGTTTAGCTCTCAGTGCAGCAACCTCTTCTTTCTTCTGTAACTCCCGTGTGCTTCATTTCGCTCTTTCTCTTTGAGCTTATTTTCCCTTTGCAGTTTAAGGATGAATTCATCCATGGCAGCAATCCTTGATCCTAAAATAACAGCAGATGAATCTTCAGTCCCAATTTTATCCTTGATTAGCTAATGAGGACCACAGACAATACATTTTGCTTTTGCACCATATTCAAGGGTGGAGATTGTCTTGTGTATTTCCTCTGGGTCTGGGCTTGCACACAGTACCATTAAAATTTTTGTTTTATCATCTTCGAAAGAATCCTGCATAAAAAGAACCTGAGAACTTTCATTCACATACAAGGTTACAGGGCAGGGCACCATATAATCCCTAGTAACTGACGTTAGTGTGAATGAAAGTTAACTGACGTTAGTGTGCATACAGTATCAGCACAAATTAAGCACCACCAAGACATTACCTGCATTTTTGCCTCAAATCCAATTTGGCCAGCTTGCTCAATATTTTCAGAGCCAGCCATGTCCACAAGCATCAAGCGCCCTCCTGCTGTTGGGACATCAAGGATTATCCGTGCAGAAATAGAAAGCGAGTTATGTCCAACTAGTGACAAGACCTGGGGAAGAATTATCATATATTTGAAAGTCCAAGGGAATCCTACCATGCAATGGCTCCGAGAACTTCTTTCGTTGCAAAGAGTACTCTTAACTATCCTTCTCTTCTCCACTTTCTAAATCTCTTTGGAAATTTTCCCAGCCTCATTTCCAGAAATGTTGGTTGCATTCTTTGCCTTCTTTCCCATCACTTCAAGCCTAACCTGCAGGTACAAGTATTAGTACAGAAAAGAGCAGCAAAAAGAATATTCCCCTTTATGATTTATGAGACTAAACCACATCCCTCATGCAATATAACCTTTATCATCATCATCACAAGAGATGCTCCATCAAAAATTGAGAGTCTTGAGATTTTTATAACGAGTTCTCTCTAATTTAAACCAACTCAACCAAATTTACAGAGAGCCAACACAACCAACTCAACCAAATTTACAGGGGCCAACACAACCAAATCTACAAATTCAAGCCTGCACAGAAAACCCATTTCCATATCAAAACTTACAGTTCTAAACACAAAAAACATTTGACAGAAAACTCATAAATAATTAAGAATTCAGTCAAAGAAAAGAGACCCAGTTAATGTAATCATCTTAGAATTGGAGCCATTCCTTCTAATTTTAGCCTACACAACCATATCCAAATATCCAGACTTGAACAGAAAATCGGCCGCCTAGGCGGGCTAGGCGGTCTAGGCGGCTCCTATATTTTTAAAAAATAATATAGCCGCGCGGCGGTACTCCTTAAATAATATATTTAAAAGTTAGAGCCGATCGGCTGTATTCGTTTTTTTCCCTCCTGATTTTACAATGAGTAATTTTGAGCAATATCCATTACTATTAGGTCATTACCCGAGTTTCTATTGTAGGAAGAATCATAATTTCTTATAAACTCTAACTCTGAGCCTGCATTCTATATGAATAACTAAACACTGCCAAAACCATAAAAAAACAAACAACATAATGCATTAAGTCACCAAACATACATGCCAACTGAAAAACAGGAGAAACAAAAAAGGGTAAATCTTACTGCTTGTAACTTACATGACAAGGATGGGGAAGGTGATGGAGATATCAAGTCTTGTGCACCTCCCTTGTTTCCTGGACTGGGAGCATTGGACACTACAGGTGCAGGTAACACATGGGGGGACAATTAAGATGAGGGACTCGTAGAAGGCGAGTAAGGGGAACCATTAGGTGCATAAGTTGGAGGAACAGTAGGGTTAGGATGAGAAGTTGGTGAGGAGCTTGGAGGAATTCCAGAACCGCAGTATGGACATGGACGAGGATGTGGAGGTACCTTGGTTGGTGCTGGTGGGAGATGATTACTGTGTCAGGTGAGGGTGCTGGAGAGTGAACTGGAGAAGCAGGATATGGAGAAATTGTTGGCTCTGGAGATGGAGCGGGAGAAGGAGTAGGAGGGGTTGCATTAAGTGTACCCTTAAGATTAGAAGATAAAGTGACACTTTCAAATTTACCAAAGACTGAGTTATCAAGCTAATTCTGCAGCTAGATTTATTAAAGAAGATAGAACAAAAAAGAACTCTGCATTGTTAAGGATGTTATTATAGCTGGGCATCTTATTTTTCTCAGTGCAGTTAAAAATGGAGACTTTTACAGATACACAAATTGATTAAATAGTTTCATGGAAATGAGGAAATGCACAAAATAATTGCATGCAAATTAAGAGTGACATGAATGGTACAATTTCAATTAGGAGAGACATGTTACCAAATTTTAAAAAGCAACACACATTGTTCTATGGTTGTATTCTCAACCCAAGTGGATATAGCTAGGATTCCTTGTATTCTCAATCCAATGGAATATGTTGGGAATTTTATGCTTGCTTGTTATGCAGTGGTTCACTTGCCCATAAATTATGTCTTGTATTTAAAATTATTAGCAAAAGTATACCTTGTTTTACTTCTAGAACTTCAAATTCTCACTTTAGCAGCTTTTCTCAGGCTTGAAGGAAATCCTATTTGCAAGAATGCAAGCATACAAAATGTAGGCCAGTTCTGTCAATCCGAAGCTGGAGGAGATGGAATCCCCTGATGGTTCAACAAATTCAACTCAAACAATGACCTGCCCTAGTCAAGCATGCCCAATAGATAATTTCTACGAATATGTCCCATCTTCCCCAGTGCCATGCTTTTGTGCATCACCTATAATAGTTGAATATCGTCTGAAAAGCCCTAGTTTTTCTTATTTTCCTCCATATAGTCAGAAGTTTGAAATATACTTAACTAGATCTCTCGACTTGAGCCTTTATCAATTATCAATTGATTCATTTTTCTGGCAAGAAGGACCTCGTCTACGGATGCATTTGAAGCTTTTCCCTATGTTCATTAATCCCCACTCAAATACATTCAACTTTAGTGAGGTTCATCGAATTAGAGGAGTTTTAACATCGTGGGAACTTCCTCTAACTGATTTCTTTGGACCTTATGAGCTTCTCAACTTCACTCTGCTGGGACCTTATTCAAATAGTATGTACTTTAGCATGGACATCTTCGTTTCAAGTCATTTTGGTCTAATTTATGAAATTATGCTGCATTTTTCTATTTGCTCATCTACCAGCACCAGCCTATGAGTATATTGGTCAATGTTCCTCCTGCATGACATAACTCTTCTGTTTCTTAATTTTATTTTAGAATCAGGTTTAGTGCAGGGTTCTTGTTCTTAATTTCATTCTGCATCATGGTAACTTCACTTATATTGTTGTTATAGTGATCATTGACCCACGAAGGATGGGCATTAGGAAGGGAATTTTGGCAGCTATTATAACAGGGGCAGTTGCATCATTTGTCATTCTTTCTGCAACTGTCATGCTTCTGATCACAAGATGCTTGAGACACCGGGACAGACCACCTTCTAGGAGACATTCATGTAAGTCCTGAATACTTGGAGATACTATCAGGTTGTTTATCATCCTAGAAAGTGGTATAAGTTCTTATCACTCTTTGCAGCCTCGAAGATTACAATGAAAATTGATGGCGTAAAGGAGTTCACTTTCAAAGAAATGACACTAGCTACCAGGAATTTTGATAGTTCAACTCAACTTGGACGAGGAGGTTATGGGGAAAGTTTACAGAGGTATTTTATCTGATGACACAATTGTAGCCATAAAGCGTGCAGAAGAAGGATCCTTGCAGGGTGAAAAAGAATTCTTGACCGAGATAGAACTGTTATCGAGATTACATCACCGAAATTTGGTCTCTTTGGTGGGATATTGTGATGAAGAAGGGGAGCAGGTATGAGGTTTGCAGTCTTGGGAAATTAGTCATTGCTTCCAAGTTGCAACTGGTTTTTTTGTGCAGATGCTGGTTGAGTGCTTCGATGTATTAGAATCACATGAATGTAAATATCATTAGTCAAATTATGTTCTTGGTGCTTGTGCAGATGCTGGTTTATGAGTTCATGCCCAATGGTACCTTAAGGGACTGGCTTTGTGGTATGAAATTTCCAACATTCCCAGTTTCTTAAATGGCTCCTTCTATTCATCCATGCCTCTTTGGTTATTTCCATTGTTCTTCTCATCATTCCCCATTTTGGGACAAGATTTCTTTCTGCAGCTTGAGTTTCATCTAGCTAATTCTGCATTGAAATTTCTTCTTAAGTTCTGTACTTGCTGTGATATGACAGTTAAGGCCAAGGGAAGCCTGAGCTTTGGTATGAGGTTACAGATTGCATTGGGTTCAGCTAAAGGCATTCTTTATCTCCATAATGAGGCAAATCCTCCCATATTCCACCGAGACATTAAAGCCACCAACATACTTCTGGACTCCAACCTTATGGCTAAAGTAGCCGATTTCGGACTCTCACGGCTTGCTCCTCTACAGGATGATGAAGGGACCGGACCTTCATATGTATCTACAGCTGTGAGAGGAACACCGGTACGTTTAGATTCTGCAAAGCTTGAAATGAATCAAGAATAATATAATATTTGCTGCTTTCAAATCCGTTGTGAGAAATTGAGAACCAGGAAGTATGCTTTGTTCCATAACTCTTTTGTTTTGGAACCAATCATACGTGCAGGGTTACCTGGATCCAGAGTACTTTTTGACAAGTAAGTTGACAGACAAAAGCGATGTCTATAGCCTTGGGATTGTGTTTCTGGAGCTCTTGACTGGGTGTGCTGCCAATATCACATGGCAAAAACATTGTTCGTGAGGTAACACATTAAAACACCACTGCTCTTTCTGTGATCCATCTGCATATACCAAAAAAAAAATTCATGAAAAAAAATATATTTATTTGTCAGGTGAATCTAGCTCATCAGGCCGGGTTGATGTTCTCCATTATAGACAGCAGAATGGGATCCTATCCGTCGGAATGTATAGAGAGGTTCCTAGCTTTGGCCCTTAGATGTTGTTATGAGAAGCAAGATAAGCGGCCAGCAATGCTGGAAGTGGTGAGGGAGCTTGAAAACATAATCAAAATCATGCCGGCAGCTGACACCATATTTTCACCATCTGCTGCCCCATACAGTGACCAATCACCAACCTCATCATCCTACTTGACTAGAGACACATCCTATGTGTCCTCAGTGTTATAGGAAGTGATCTTTCCAGTGGTGTTGTCCCAACCATCGCGCCTCGATGATGAAAAATATCCTCACATGTTAGTCACGTGACGCTGTATATATTCGTGTCGTATGAAAAGAAGTTATCCTTGATGAGAATCTGGGGGTTTTCTTTGAACCCTTTTCTCCGTTTTCCAGATTACAGGCAGAAAAATAACATCTTGTAGCTGAGTTTTGGATCTAAAATGTAGTTTTGTCTCATTGCTGTTCCGAGTGAGGTGCATGATCACAAACATGCTCAGTTTGCAACAGAAACACAGATGTTGATACAAGAACAAATACAAAAGCTTAAATGAATTAGATTTTTCACTTGAGGTGGTGTAATATTTCAATTTTTTTTTTCTGTACTTTGGCTGGTTGGTTTTGTGTCCTATGCAAGAGGAGGAGGAGACAAATCTTTAATTTTTAATTTTTTTTAATTTTTTTTTCTCAGCAAACAGAGGGCATAATCAAATGTCAAAATCCATAACAGAAATGCAATATCCGAAGAATGAAAAGCAGTCCGACCAAGAAGAACCATCAATGGGTGAATATTAATTGCATAAAGATTTATCAAGTTTCAAGAAGAAGAACCATCAGTGAAGAAGAAGCACGGATACGCTGGTTGAGGTGCGTATCCCGTATCCGATACGCTGGGGGATACGATACGCTGTGAATACGTGCGGATACGCGATGGATATGTATCCGAGTAAACGGATAAGGTCAACGACAAAAGATACGCGTATCTGGCATTACAGATACAAGTATCCGATGTTTAGGATACGCGTATCAGAAAACGTCTCCACTTCTTCTTCTTTCAGATCTTCCTTCATCTTCTATATAAATAAGAAGCCCAGAGCTTCCTTCTTCTTCTTCATCCAGCAGTGACCCCACTCATCAATTCTTCTTCTTCATTCTTCATTGTCGGCGGCGTCGGGTTCTCCTCCATTTTCATTTGGGATATTTGTTGAAATGTCACCTGAACTTATACCTTAGTTTCAATTTGTCACCTGAACTTTTCAAAATCTATAAATTGTCATCTGACTTTAACATCATCCAATTTTTCATCCGTAATTAAGGGTATTTTAGCCTTTTCGTTTTTAGAGTGTTTAAAAATAAAAAAAATCATTATACAAGCCTTTCCTACCAAACATTAAAAGATTTAAAAATGCATTTTTTTCCATCCCCCTGTCGTCTCTCTCTATTCTCCCTCCCTCCCCAACCACACCTCCCCTCTCCTCTGTTTTTTTTTCTTCCCCCAAGACCTGAGCATGGAAGGGATGGGTTGCCATATCTGCCAAGCTGCAATCAAAACCACACCTCCCAAAAAAAAAAAAAAAAAAAAAAAAACAAAACAAACTCCCCTCTCCTCTATTTCTCTGTATAGTTACAGGAGGTATGGTGGGAATTGCTTCGTGAATTTGTTGGGGAAGTGGCAGGAGTCTAAATATTTCATTTAGGTGATCTAGTTGGTGGTCTTGCCAACTATGTCACTGCTCCATCAAGGTGATCAAGGTGATCCAGCACATTGATTGCTTTACCTTTTAAATCTCCTTTGCCGTTTCTTATTTCATTTAGTTTGCAAAAGAATTTACAAGAATCACTGATTCATTTTCCTGTCAATGTGGTTTTGATTGCAACCCAGAGAGACGAGGTGTGGTTGGGGAGGGAGGGAGAATAGAGAGACGACAGGGGATGGAAAAAAAATGCATTTTTTAATTTTTTAATGTTTGGTAGGAAAGGCTTGTATAATGAAAAATGAAAAGACTAAAATACCCTTAATTATGAATGGAAAATTGGATGATGTTAAAGTCATATGACAAATTATAGATTTTGAAAAATTCAGGTGACATTTCTCTTAAATTTTTTGTTCAGGTGACAAATTGAAACTAATGTATAAGTTTAGGACACATTTCAACATAATATCCCTTTTTTTTCTCTTCTTTTTTTTTTTTTTTTTTTTTTTTTTTTGTTTTTTTTCACACGTTCTGACAAAAGGATTTTGTTTTGTTTGTCTTATTAAAAGTAATAATATTATAACCAAGACAAGTGGAAGTATGTTAAAAGTAATAATATTATCTTTTTATGTTATTTAAAGCATGTTTTAAATTATATATATTGTTATTTTTAAATTTTTATATATTTTTTAAATTGCCGTATCCACGACGTATCGTATCCTAATTTTTGGAAATTTGTCGTATTTCCATGTTGTGTCATCGTATCCCCGTATCCGTATCCGTATTCGTGTCCGTGCTTATTAAGAACCAAACCAATCAATCTATTGCTTAACCAAACCAGAAATAAATAGTCAGAATTTGAGATTGGGGCCTAAAAACCGAACCTTGTTACTGGCAAGACCATAGAAACTCCATGATAGGATACCTTCATCATTTCCTTCCACTCAAGAGAGACACCAAGTCAGCAAATTTTGAATTTTTTTTTCTTCTGTGCCATGTCGTCAATGTGAAGAGAGAAGAGAATAAGGCGGAGTTGGCAGAGGGAGGAATTGTCGTCGTTGTTGTTGGTGTGGTGAGGTGAACATGTCGTTTGGGAGAGAGCCAAGAGAGAAGAAAATAAGGTGGGAAATAATAGGGAGAGGAATAGAATTAGATGAATTAAGAGTCTCATGATCACTTCTTCTGTGGACCTAACTTGTGATTCACTACTTCGGCTTCCCAATCTCAATCTCAAGCTCAAATTTGCAACTAAGGGGGGTGTATTCAATTGAGATTTTAAAAAATTATTTTGAGATAGATAAGTCTTGTGGTATTCAATTAAGACTTTTAAATAATCTAAACAAGTCTTGCGGTATTCCATTAAGACTATTATGATTTTTTAAAGAAAGTGTCAAAATCTTGTGGTATTCAATCAAGACTTTAAACAAGTAACAATAAGTCTTATGGTATTCAAAAACTTGTTAATTTCGATGGATTTTTTCAAATGCAAAATTGTGTAAGATTTTTTAATGAGATATATAAATATCAAACCATATCTCAAATCACACCCTAAACCATGAGACTTTTCTTTTTTCACGTGAGATTGTTTTTTGTGCTCATCCACTTCGCCTTCTCTCAAAGCCAACTTCAACACCCAAAGCTTCACCTCCACAAGCCATCTCTACAACTCCACATGCAAACCCACTTCACTTTCTCTGCTATACCTCAGTCAAATTTATGGCAACACCACGAGACCCAACAGGTCCAAAGTCTCAAACTCAAATGGGTTCTTCTCTGTTAAAGCTTACATGGATAATCCAAACTCCATCTCAAAAAGGGGTTAAAGGAAGAGAGAGAGAGAGAGAGAGAGAGAGAGAGAGAGAGAGAGAGAAAGAGAGAGAGAGAGAGAGAGAGAGAGTCATGGACCTCGTGGTTCAACATTAGGTAAATCCCTCCAAAAAAGTATGAGATTATCTCTCTTCATTTTCTCAGCTTTGAATCCTCGTCTGGGTCGTTGCCATTTTCCCCAAAGCCTTCCATTTTCTTGCCCAACTTCCTGACTCTTACAAAACGGAGACTCACTTGCATTTCAGGTTCAGTTCTCTTCTCCATTCACCTTTTCTCTGTATTTCTGAATCTTGATTTTGGTTGGGTCTTTTTTCGGTGTTGAACTTAGAGGACGAAGCAGCCAAAACCGAAGTGTTGAAATTGGATTTTAAGACGGTTCATCTGCCATGGAAGCTATAAACAATTCAATCACCCATGACCTAAATAAACCTTCCAAATTTGAGGGTCTTCATTTTAAACGATGGAGGCAAAAGATGTTGTTTTACCTTACAACGAAAAAATTAGCTTCTGTTTGCACGTCTAATAAACCATCTGCCTCTGACAATCCCACTCCTTAACAAACTTGGGCCTTGCAGACATGGACTGAAAATGATTTCTTGTGCAAGAACTATATTTTGAATGGTTTATCTAATGATCTTTATGATTATTATTCTTCTTAAGATATTGCTAAAGATTTATGGGATGCGCTTAAAAAAAAAAATTTGATACAGAAGAGGCTGGTGCAAAGAAATTTGTTGTCAGTCGTTATTTGAAGTTTCAAATGGTGGATGAAAAATCAGTAGATGCACAATCTCATGAACTATAGAAAAATTACACATGAAATTATTATTGAAGGCATGAATTTAGATGAACAATTTCAGGTGGCTGTTGTAATTGACAAGTTGCCTCCTAACTGGAAAGATTTCAAGAATGCTCTGCATCACAAGACCAAAGAATTTTCCTTGGAAAGCTTGGTCACTCGTCTGCGTATTGAGGTGGAAGCCAAGAAACATGACATGAAAGAAGCAGTTTTGCTCATCTCCAACAACAAGAAAAATCACAACTCCAACATGAATCAAACCCATGCTGCTCTGAAAACAAATGGCAAGAATATGAAAAATCAAAACAGGAACCACAACAACAACAACCAGAATCGAAATGGTCAACACAACCAGAGTTGGAATCCTCAACACTATCATAATCAGAACCTTCATCAGAGTCAGATTAGGAGTTAACCCCCCTAATGTGATGATGATTCGGGACAGTTTCTATGTATAACTATCACAAGCTGGGGCACCTTGCCCGGAACTGCAGGAATAGGTCTCGCCCAGCTCCTCAAGTGAATATAACTGAAGAGCAACTTATTGCTATGATTTCAGAAATCAACGGTTGATGGATTCGAGGGGTGGTGGGTAGACATTGGCGCTTCTCGCCATGTTTGCTATAATCGTGCCTTTTTCATGTAACACCCCGACTCCAAATTTAAGTCCCTATTTAAATTATTTAAGTCAAATTACGAATTTACCCTTGGGGTAGGGGTAATTTGGTCATTTTCTTATCTGGAAGGACTGTGGGACAACAAGTGGTATGGTTACGTAGGTCGTACTAAGATGAGTCCGTAAACACACGGTATGCTTGAATTGGAGTTGTAACGAAGAAGTTATGAGCAAAACAACACCAGCGGAAAAACTATAAATATTTTGAACTTAGGTGTAGAAAAATCATAAACCT